TGTTTAATTTTTTTTAGTAAACAGACAGATAATTGTCTGTGTCTATGAACTGTCATTTTTTTTTTCAAATTCTTCTTTTAGGTCACATTACTGGTTCTGCAGTTGGTACAGATGCGTGGACTCCAAATATGGAAAGCAGCCTCATGTGCACAGTGTTTCGGCTTTATCTGCAGGAAGGACTGGTACAGTGGAACAAAGCCTTTGCAGATGTCACATGCAAACCTGCAAAGCCACAGGTTTCTAGGCCACAAACTATAAGGATTACACTACTGCGGTAAACTGCATGGATAATACATTTACACATCTCTGTTTCTCTGAGTTGGTAACAAGTTACTGAATAAGGACTATAAGCGTCCTTTTGGCAATTTAGTTACCGCCTTCTTAGCAACCTACATAAAAAAATACAGCTATGAAAATCATGTTTGAGGCATGATTGTATTTTATCTGTTGTAATGTAATGTCAACCATGGACCCTTTTCACAAGACTGTGATTAACGGTCATCAGCATCGTAAATCCTCGAAAGTTTTTCATATTTGTATTTTTTTTTTTTATGTATCTACATTTATAACACTATTCTTTGTATTATATCACCTTTGCATCAAATTACACAACCGTTACCGTTATCAGTCTCTCTCAATTTTTTTCCTTTTATTGAAAGTCATGAAAACACTATCGTGGAGTTTTTCTTTTGCTATTTGAGCAAATGGGAATGCAAAAAATATATTTGTGGTGCTCTCCCATTCACTGCTATTCAAGTTAACCCAACTATGACGACTTCTGCTGCGGAGAAACCCGGAAATGTGAAAAAGGTCCATTATTTTACTAATAAATTGCCTAAAATAAATAAATAAAATGCCAAAGGAAACGCATATCTTGCAAATGCTAATCCTCTTCCAGATTTGGACTACAAATAGCTTTACAAATGTTTAAGCTTGCATGTTATAAATTATTATAATCTGTTTTGAATTTTACGTTTGTGATGAAAGTAACTTAATTTTTGCCTGTCTTGACTCCATGTTTGGATGTGTAAAGAGTCGTGTGGTCCTCCACAGTAGAGGGCGGCAAGTCGATGTCCCTCCATTACGCACTGTCAGGAGTGCGTCACTTCCGGCAACTTACATTGGAGCCAATGGCATCGCGGCAGGACAGCGGTCCAGAAGCAGGTTTAAATGCGCCGCCAGCCTGCGCGCAGGACAGGACAGGGGAAGCCTTGCAAAAGTGAATACTTCTAATAACGTTACAAAGTCAGGATGTCAAACGAAAGGTACTATGCAATTGTTATTTACCAAACCTCCAAGTATTATTTGCATTTTACATTGCGCATATTTTCCTGAAATTTACGTTACTGACGTGAGTGTGTTTCTGTGTAAGTTACTAACGTACCTTTGGATTCTCCCTCCACTTTGGTGTGTTTTGTAAGTTTTATAACTTGTTGGTGTGTTATAAAAAACACTGTGCACAATAATAAACGTATTTGTTAAAACATGACTTTAGATCGGTTGTGCAAAGATCTGCAGGACGCATTTTTAAAAATGTATTTAACTTAGTCGAATGTGTGGTTGGCGCGCGCCATCGTGTTGTGACGCGCGAGGACGAGGTTTTCTCTAATAATTTATTTATATAAGCAAATCAGAATTTCGCAAGTTCTTTAAATCTTTTGAATGGTTCCATTAGTTAATATATCGTTTTGATTTTCGAAAATACAAGTTATTATAGAGGCTATTTTTGGTATAGACGTAAGTTAACTCGCGACAAATGGCGGGCATCACAGATCTTGTGATACGAGCTTGCAGTTTACAGTATACAAGCAATCAAAAACAGTTGTAATTGTGTCGATGTGTTATTAGCCATTGCGTATTGTGTAGTGAGAAGTTGTTATTTCCTTTTAAAATTGTTGTAGGTTGAACTTATGTAATGAGGACTGTTTATCCTTAGGTTTGGGAGATCGCGGTTATTGGTTTCTGCTGTTATACCTCTATATATCCTTATAACAACACGAAATGGTGAGGTTGCTGTTGCTTAGTGTTTTCCTTGTTTTTATGTAGACCGTTTAAAGAACTGAGTGAGAATTTGGAGGGATCCCTGTGCAGGCCTCAGAGGACTAAATGGAAAAGGCGGCCCTCCTGCAGTGGGGGTCTAGACACAGAAAACACTCCAAACGAGCTCATCCAGCAGTGGTCACCCCCACACAAAAAGTTCCTGACTTCTGCAAAAGGGAAAGAAAATGAGGAAAACGTATTTGTTCTTGCCAGACCTCCCAGGAAAAGAAGAGAATCATCAGGTTTGTGACTGAGAAATTGAACCATATAAAGCCTACTGTATTATATTTGATACATGTGTTTCTATCATGATCACAAATTTTCTTGAAAACTTGTAATCTACCTTCTGCCCTGTGATTATTACATCATACTTTTGTAATTGTAAAAATGTATACCTTCAGGTTTTGTCTTTGTGCTGTGAAATTTGGAAATTATTACGTGAACTTAAATCTTATTATTATTTCAAAAAGATGTCAACATTTTCTAGTCTGATGCAACTTTGGTTTACTTATACATACATGATTATTCAGAAATATCATTTTAAAAAGACAATATAAAATACATTAGGCTTTTGGGGAACGCTTATTTCTACATCTCTCAGTTATCATTGTATTGTTTTGGATTATATGTTTTGTCCCCACAATAAAAACTACAGAGCTTTGATCATAAAACTAAGCGTTTAAATATCACCTTTGCCGGTGATATTTTTTTTTCACAACGCGGTTCCTTGTGTGTTTTGGCCAACGTGAATAACCGTAGACGCTCTTACTGCGCGCATGTTTGATATATTTGCCTCCCGGCAAAGAAATAAAAATAAAATAATAATAAAATCAAGAGCTAGATCACGTAAACTGTTAAGACTGACTATTGTAATATCAGCGCCAGGTAAGATTACTCGCGTTCATTTCTGCACTCAGTTACATAATGTTTTATTTAGCCTACATATGTACCTTTATGAAAATTAAACATGGGTTTACTTCATATAAATAATAAAAAAAATAGTTAAACTAAAGTAACCACACATTAACATGGTTTTGCTATACTAGCCATTTAGCGTCACCATGGTAGTAAAACTGTGATTATACTAATGGTAATCAATCCGAATGACTAAGCAATGCACGCATGAGCGCGTGATCTCTGTGACGCCCAGATGTACAAAACAGACCCTCCCACCTCTGTAATAAACACAGATGTTTGTCCCGTCCGAATTGGTACATGAAAATCGTAGACGTCAGGTGATAAGAAAAGAAACTCAAACGTAGTTTAGAAAACTAGTCCCGTCCGAATAGGGCTTGAGACATATTATTGGAGGATATAAATGTTGTCACTATATTTATGTAAATAGTCTGTTAAAAAAAATCTCATTGTTTTACATAACAGACTTACGTTTTTAGCACCAAATTACATAATTTTGTTTGTTTAGGGCCTCTGAATATAATTCAAGTCTGAGATTCATATTTTAATTATATTATACTGTATGAGCCATAAAAGCCTAATGTATCAAATACTAGTATGCGTAACAAAATACACACGTTTTTAAAACGCATTTTCTTTTACTGTTTTGTCTTAAGTTTCTATGAATCTTTTCATTAAAATAGAGTTTTCTGATTGTTTCATATGTAAGCTTTTACAGGTTTAATGTAGTACTGTATATCTGATTGGAAACTTTTGTGTGTAAGAGCTGTAAAGGTAAATGGGACATAGTTGCATGAACAAACAACTTATCAGTACCCTGTAGACTTCCATTTTGGGGTCCACTTACTGTTTCTCCCCAAAATTTAGTTGAATTGTATTATTGTAATTGCGTATAAGATGTACATGGACTTGTTTGGGCAGAATAGAGCCTAATTTGTTAACTTGTTCCTCCCTCAGCAGGCTTGTGTTGGGACAGTCTGCCTGATGAGCTGTTGTTGGGAATCCTGTCTCGTCTCTCACTGCAAGATCTCCTCCGGACGTCACGAGTCTGCAAGCGCTGGAATCGTTTAGCGTAAGGTCTTCATACACTATTACAAAGTTGGAGTTTGGAAGACCACCGATCACCTGTGATGGAAATCATAAAAGTCAAAACTCTGCATTTGCAGGTTTGATGAGTCTCTGTGGCACAGTGTGGACCTGGTGGGAAAGGCTCAGTTAGATGCAGAGCTTGGGCAGGTTCTCTCAGCTGGTGCCTTGAGATTGCGCTGTCCACACACATGCATCGCTCAACCCAGTTTTAAAAGTGCACAGTGAGTAATTCGTGTTTTCACAGTGCCACAGTAAAGTCCTATTGTGTAAGTGCTGCTGTTGTTGCTGTCTTATGTTTGTAAATGTAGTGCATTTTGAATTACAGGAAACTTCGTGTCCAGCATCTGGATTTATCAAGCTGCACAGTGGAGACGTCTGTTCTCGAAGACATCCTGTCTCGCTGCAAACATCTACAGAATCTCAGTCTCGAAGGATTAGTGCTCTCTGAAAGCATTATTCAGTAAGTGATAGTAAAAAAGACATTTTACACACAACAACATAACTAGATTTTTTTTGTTAGCGGCACACACCGACCAATCAAAAGGTGTTTTATTCACAAACAATCAAACAGCATTTAGTTTTTGTGTTGAAAGACATGGAGAAAACTACTCTTGCTGTTGACAGTTTTTCTGTAACTACATAAACAGCAAAAAAATTACCCCTACTTAATAAGAACCACATACTGAAGTGTAGTACAATGCTTGAAAACTGATTTATATATATATATATATATGTGTCGGGCATTTGTCGGCGATTTCGCAAAACCTGTCGGCGAGTGAAAAATCGGGCTAAAATCGTGCAGTGTGAACTCGGCATAAAGTGTTACCCAGTGAAGTAGATCGGTAACAGGTAGAAGATTCGAAAATATAACGACTCCTTAAGGCGATTCTGAGTCGACTCTTTTTTTTAAAAGAAATATCTTTATTTATCATGCACTTTTTTGATTAACAACTTTGCAGACTGTTTACATCGAAGGATAGCTACCTTACAAACTGCAAAAGAGATATTTTTCGAAAACCCATATGACCTGCTCTTTAAGGAGTGTTTGGAACAACAGGAAACTATTTTAGTTTGATGAGCAACATCACAAACTTGCTTCATTAATATAGAATTCTTCTGGTGTGTTGACACAGGTGCGAATATTAAATAATTTTCAGCAGCCTCAACTGTGACTAATCCAATCAGAATTTTGATTGATAATTATCCCTTTCATTAGTTTGAGTTTTGAGTCTTGTTTTTAACCCATGTTACAATGCAGTTTAGAAGTCTGAGGTCATTTTTTAAATTTTTTTTAATGAAATTAATACTTCAGTTTGGCAAGGATGCACTAATATATAAACAGCATTTAGCTGTTTTATCATTGATAATATATATATATATATATTTTTTTTGATTAAGTCTAGCATTTAGGGTATTACCACATTTTAATAATATGCTTTAATAATACTGTCAATATGTTATTAATTGTAATACATTTTATTAACTTTTATTATTATATAAACTACAACAGTAATAAACAGAAATAAATAAAATTATTGTAAATGTGATATAAGTTTGTGGACAGAAGATTCGAAAATATAACGACTCGTTAAGGCGATTCTGAGTCGACTCTTTTTTTGAGAGACAATATCTTTATTTATCATGCACTTTTTTGATTAACAACTTTGCAGACTGTTTACATCGAAGGATAGCTACCTTACAAACTGCAAAAGAGATATTTTTCGAAAACCCATGTGACCTGCTCTTTAATTGTTATTAGTCACTGGTAACATTCACAAAAGCTGCAGATTTAACTATATCTTTTTTGCAAATTTACATATGAAAATATGAAGACCTTGAACCTGTATTTTGTTCTCTTGCAGTTCTCTGGCTCAAAATACTGAAATTGTCCGACTGAATTTGTGTGGCTGTTCTGGCTTCTCTCCTGATTCTCTGGCTGAGATGCTAAAATCTTGCACTCGGTAAGATTACCTTTGTATACCAAAAAAAAAAAATAGAAATTGTGTTCCTGAGAAAAATGTTTCACTGTTTCCAGAGAAATAATAAGCAGCATGACTGTTTTCAACATTGATAATAAGCAATGTTTCTTGAGCACCAAATCAGCATATTGGAATAATTTCTGAAGAATCATGTGACACTGAAGGCTAGTTTAATGTTTGCTGAAAATTCAGCTTTGCCATCTTAAGATTAAATTACATTTTAAAATTTTCAAGTAGAAGTCAGTTCTTTTTAATTGTAATAAAATTTCGCAATTTTACTGTTTTTACTGCATTTGATCAAATAAGCGCAGCCTTGATAGGTATTCAAGACTTTCAAAAACACAAAATCTTACCAGCTTTTAAATGTTGGTGTACATCCAAAGACAACTAAATTTTTTAAATATAATGCTTGATGAGCATGTATTCATCATCAAAAATGTCAGAACTAGTTGTTTTAAAGTACTGTGTAGTCACAATTATTTGATAGATGTTTTACCACTCTACTACTATATTTTTAAATATCTGCTTGCAGTTACATGTAATTAATTTCTGTAAATGCATCCTACCTCTATAGCGGCAAAAGTGTTATACAATACAACATGTGTCTAATTGTATATGGTCATGTTTACTATATTTATGTATAGTCCTGTTAAAATAACTAAGTCTGTGCCTCGTCACAAGCATTTCAATGCCCAGTTCCCCAGTGTAACTGTACAGATGACTCTTGACAAGTACATTGTACTGAAAATGTATTTTATTTAAGGCGAGTATGTTGTAAAGACACCTAATATAAAGTGAGATTGTATCTTTTCATAGTACATCAAGTGTTTTACCTCCATAGATCAAAGAAAATTATATTAATCATATGATGACACCCTTTAAAGGCCGTAATTTTCTTTCTTTCCCCAGAATTGAAGAAATGAATGTGTCATGGTGTGACTTCAATAATCTCCATGTTCAAGCTATTGCTAACAACGTTCCCTCCAGCATCACTCAACTGAACATCAGTGGTTACAGACAAAACCTCACAATGGAAGGTAAGGAAAGCAAGGAATTCAAATTTATGTAAATGCATTTGTAACCATTTCATGCACCAACAGTTTCTTTTTTTTTGTGTGCGTTTCAGATGTTAAAGCTATATTAAATAGATGTCCAAACCTCACAAATCTAGATTTGAGGTAAGTTCCTAACTCAAAAGATGATTGTGGATCAGATGCCTAATAGCAAACAGCAGGAGGTTCACATTCAATTGTGTTTTTATCATTACAGTGATAGCGTGCTTGTGACGACAGACAGTTTCCCAGTCCTGCAGCAACTTTCCTCCTTGAGACATCTGGCACTGAGCCGCTGTTATCAGATCCACCCAGCTTCACTCATGTAAGAGAATGGTTGAATTCAGAAAGACAAGACAAACATCAACACTTTTGATCTGTATATAGTGTCTGCATACAAACCCTAAATATTCCTTCTCTTTTTCTCTACAGTGACTTTGAAAAGTTTCTAAATTTGCAGACCCTGGGGGTCTTTGGGCTTATACAGGACAGCTACCTGCCCATTCTTTGTAAAGGTCTACCGCACATACAGATCAACACACAGCCTTTCTCCACTGTGGCACGTCCCACCTTGGCAACAAGAAAGGATCGCACACTTTGGGGAATGCACAAGAACCAAAGACTTAAACTACTTCAGTCTGTGTGCATTGAATTTATTTAATACACAAGTTTTACAATTTGAGTTGAATTACTGAAATAAATGAACTTTTCCATGACATTCTAATTTATTGAGATGCACCTGTATTTCAGCCGCTGAACACAAAATAGGAGCCAACTGTTTAAATTGCATATAAAAATGTAAATAGGGGTCCTATTATGCTCTTTTACAAAGTCTTGATTTTGTTTTGGGGGTGTACTAGAACATGCTCTCATGCTTGGTGGTTCGAAAAACGCATTATTTTTCACATCATTTACATTACAATACCTTTCTCCCCAGCCTGGCACAAACGGCTCGATTGGTTCCGGCTTTGATGAAGGTCCGCCTTCCCGAAAAACAAAATGTGATGTGATTGGTTAGCTGTCCCAGTGCACGAGCCATTCGTTGTAGTTCTTGAAAAGGGATTTTTAAAAAACGAAATATCTCCCTTTGGAGTGGACTTTGAGATTTGTAACTTTCTAGATCTTTTTTATGCCCAAACATACACACTACACACCGACTAAAATTTAAAAAAGTGAAAAAGCATAATAGGACCCCTTTAAAAAAAAAAAAAAGGTTATTTTAGAATACAAATGATCTATTTCAATCACTGAACACAAGAATAGGGAACAGTTATTTAAATCGCAGAATATTAATTTTTTTTATTTAAACAGAACAAAAAAGCCATTTGTAAATACTAATGAGCTGATTATTAATACTTGTAAAAAAAAATTAAAAAAAAGATATTGTATTTTGAACTCACCACTCTCAATGAACTCCCGATTTAGAGGAACATCCAAACCTGTTTTTAATTTACCTAAGATACAGAAAAGATGAAGATCATGCTTGTAGTAGCTGACGATTATAAACTGTTCTGTCATAGAACATAATGCAGAATATATTTAACATATATAACTTTTGTTTTTGTGTTTCTAACCTATTCTAAGTACATCCTCCACGGCCTGCTCGACAAGCTTATTAATATTGTAGGACCTGGACGAAGGAACAAAAATAATTTGGTAATCTCTTGACATTTCTATGAGGTGTTGTAAGATCACTTTTCTTTAAAGCAGCGCTCTGACTCACCAGGCTTTAGATCCGGTTCCAGTGCAAATGCTAAGCCCTGAGCTCTTCTGCTTCTCCCACGGCCCGTCGTCGATGGAGATTTCGTAGTATGAAGCCCTATGAAGCGAGAGGGTAAGATGGGGTTTGAAGGATTTATACTTCAACCTGTGGCAAACAGAAATCCACAAGTAAGGGGAGATGGGGGGATGCATGGAGTGAAGGAGGACATGTGGTTGATGAAATGTTCGAGGGGTGCGACTGGTTCCAAGTCGTCACAGAATGGTGGGCAGGGACATATACCTGGAGGACAGAGACTCCCCAATGAAGATCTCATTGAGCCCTCGGACAGGCAGTAGGTGAGGCCTTTCAGGACTGTTGGGTGTCGTACCTGTCACAAAAATATGATAGCGTTGTTATCTTTCTGTAGAACTCAAAGAATACACAAACTTGTTCAGAGCAAACCTTTCTTACAAAGTAATCAAAGCTGGGTGCAGCGTTACTGCACTTAAAGGAACTGTTCACCTTTGAAAATTTTGTCATCATTTCCTCACCCTCACGTTGTTCCAAACCTGTATGATTTTCTTTTTTTATGGTAAACATGAAAGATATTTTGAAGAATGCTGGTAATCAAACAGTTGATGGTCGACCATTGACTTCCACAGTATTTCTTTCACTACTATTGAAGTCAATAGACCAATTTCAGTGTTTGCAAACAGTGATGACGTTTTTGTCAGTGATGAGTCTATTTGTTGGCAGAAAATGCCCGTTTTAACGTAGCAGTCTATGCAAGCCATGGAATAAAAGAATAAAAAAGGTAAATTTTGAGTTATTATTTTAAAATTCTGACTTTTTTCTTGCAATTCCGAGATCATATCTCACAATTCTGATAAGAAAAAAAATCAACTCGTCATTCTCTCTTTTCCCCTCGGCTCAGAATCATGAGTTTATATCCCAACACTTCTGGCTTTTTTTTCCTCAGAATTGGCAAACTCGCAATTGTTGAGGTAAATCAAGTTATAAAGTCCAAACTAGGAGATTTAAACTTGCATTTGTGAGAAAAAAAGTCAGAATTGTGAGATAAAATAGGTAGGCTAAATGTAATGTAAAATGTTATACGTTTAAATAGTATTTCATGCTTTAACTGTAGGGCTAATACAATATGTCCCCTATGTGAATATTATATAGACCTATTGTTTAAATCAAATTTATGCTTTAAAAGTAGT